AGCTCTCGCAGGAACTAATAGAGCGAGAACTCACTCGTTAATCCCTCCTACCCCAGGGAGAGCATTAATCGATTCATGAGGGATCTGCCCGATGACTCAATCAGTTTCCAGCACTGCCACATTGGGGATCAAATTTCCACATGAGTTTTGGAGGGGACAACACATCCAAACTCCATCATTCCGCCCCGGCCTCCCAAAACTCATGTCCCTCTCACATACAAAATACAGTCATTCTATCCCAACAGTCCCAAAAGTCTTAACTTGTTCCAGCACCAACTTAAAAGTCCAAAGTCTCCTCTGAGACCAAAAGAAAAAGTCCTTCCAGCTGTGAACCTGTAAAAGTCAAAACCAAATTTACCTACTGCCAAGATACAATGGTGGAACAGACATTGGGTATACATTTCCATTCCAAAAGGGAGGAATAGGCCAGAAGGAAGGAAAAACAGGCCCCAAACAAGTCCGAAACCCAGCAGGACATACATTAAATCTTAAAGCTCCAAAATAATCTTCTTTGACTCCAACTCCTGCATCCTGGTCACACTGGGGCATCTGGGCTCCCAAAGCATCAGGCAGCCTCGCTTCCACAGCTCTGCCAGGTGCAGCCCAGTGAGCTGTGCTGGTGCCTGCAGCTTTTCCAGGCCTGCATTACATGTTGCCAGTGGCTCCAGAGTTCTGGGGTCCTGGCAGCAGCCCTGCTGCCTTGGCTCTACTAGACATTTCCTTGGTGAGGGCTCTCTGTGGGGGCTCAGACCCCACTTTCCTGCTCAGCATTGCTCTAGTAGATGGCCTCTGCAGTGGCTCCGCCCCTGTGGCAGGTCTCTTCCTGGGCCCCCAGGCTTTTCCATACATACTTTGAAATCTGGGTGGTGGCTCCCAAGCCTTCCCAGCTCTGGCATTATGTGAGCCTGCAGACCTAAAACCACGTGGATGCCGCCAAGAAGAGACACAGTTACTACTGGAGATGTCAGTTCAGGCAGAGAGAGATGACAAAAAGTACCCTGGTTGCTTCTTACCAATCACCATCCTATCTCATGCCAGTGCCTCCTATTGACCAAACCCAACCAGAAGCCAGTTGAGGGATCCTGGAAAATACAGTTTTCTGCAATACAGACAAGGGAAGGGTAGAGAACGGATCTGACAGCAAACAGGCAAATAACTAGCATAGAGGTGTAGAACATTTATACATGTGTTTTTGTTTGTTTTTTCCATAGACAGGAAGCTCAGTCATGCGACTCTAATTCCACATGGGATCTCTGGAAACCTTCAATTTCTTTGGCAGGCACAGTTTGCACCAACTTACCTTTTCAAAACCTCTTCAAACTAGTCCACTCACATATTTGTCCCCTAAATATAGAGTGAATATTTCTTGGCTTGAATCATTTCCTCCTGTCTGGAATAACATTCTTGCCCTCTATACTTATTTAAATCCAACCCATCTTTGAAATCCCAGTTTAATTCCTACCTCCTCCACTAGCATTTCCTGACAACTACTATCAGGATAAGGTTGACAAGTATTATCTATTCTAGTTGAACACGGTATGGCTGAAAAGTTTTGCAGGATGCATAATTAAAATCTATTCACTATGATGTCAGGAGGACTTTTGATATTTCCTTCCACGTGAAAGGACTACCATTAGTGTAATTTCTGGCCTCTGTCCACCTCTTACTCACTCTGTCCAAGCGAAGGTGGAGAGACTTTTCTGAGAAGAATATACAAGGCATTCTAGGCTGAGCTCCACCCTTCTCTCTCTTGGGAGTGAACTTACTGCAGGCACCAGGACACATCTGTCTGTCCATGTTGTAAGTCTTAGCAGGTCCAATGCCCACCTGAATATGAGGTAAGTAATGTTGAATTCTGGAATTACTGTGCAGGTCCATTTGGTTTTCACAATGAGCTAGGGCTTCTAACTTAACCTTCAACCATAATAAAGGAATATTGTGGCCCCATCTGCTACTACTCTAGGCCTTTCAGTTTTTTCAGAACTCAACAGGAAAGTGCTATTCATCAGCCCCTTCCCCACAGAAGCTCTGACATATGACTTTTATCTTAGGCTTCTGTTCATAGATTCCTTGATATCCACCTTTTTTTTTTTTTTTAAATAGAACACACTTCTAACTCTGAT